GTTGTGGGCCTGAACTCTGGGCCTGGGCGCTGTCCCTCAGCTCTTCAGCTCAAGGCTAGTGCTCTACCACTTGAGCCACAGCGCCACTTCCGGCCTTTTTTTTTTTGCTTATGTGGTGCTGAGGAATCGAACCCAGGGCCTCATGCATGCAAGGCAAGCGCTCTACCACTGAGCCACCTTCCCAGCCCTGTATAGTATTTTCACAATAAAAATAAAAATAAATTAAAAAAAAGAGATTAGCAAAGAAAAGTGTCATTGTGGCTCAATTCTGCAGGGTTTACTACAGAATCCTCTGCTCCTGAGCGTCTGAATGGTTGCCCTAGATACTGTTATCTACAAGGTAGGCGGGTGTTTCTGTAAAGCCCGTCTACTGATTGACTGAAATCTTAGCATCAGGTTTTACACATGCGCAGTCGAGTGCGAAGTGGATGCACCAACCAACCTTTGAACTAGAACTGGCTGCCACGCAGAGGATTCTGGGAATGGTAGTTTGGGGCCTCATACCTCACAAACTCAGTTCCTCACGGGGCTCCGACCAAGTGTCGCCTTCTTTGCCGTCGTACCAGGGGAATGCAGCCCACATACCCGCAGCTCTTCGCCCCTGTCCCAGCAATAGCCCTTCTCTTTCCCTCCACCTTGAGCCTCTGTGAGGCAGAGCGGCCGGCTTCGTCGCTACATCTTCGGTCCGTAACTACTTCAGGGTGGCTGGTCGCCATGACGACTGCCCGCTGGCGGCGGGTGACGTCATGGCGGGTGTGCACGGCAGGGGGCGTGGCTAGCGCTCGGTACTCGGCGGCGCTGAGCCGCAGCCAGCCCGCACCGAGCTCCCGAGGTGGCGGAGGTGGCATCCACTGGCCTCACGCTGCCCTTTGCGTAACCGTGAGTCGCGTCGTGGGTTGCTTTTTTTTTTTCTTTTTAAGTTTGTTTTAAAAATATCTTCCGGCTGCAAGTCCAGACGCTCCTGTTACCTGCATGGGAATTTTCTGGGAGAAAGGCACCAGGAATGGATAATTAAACTGTGCCTAAATTATAGTGCCAGGAGAGCTCCTGGCGAGCGCCGTCTGGGACAGGGGGCGACAAGCAGTTATTAAAGAATTCCAGCCCAGCAATTATTTCTCTATCAGCCCGGGATGCTGAGGTGTACCTGTGGGAACCCGGGAGAGCGGCTGCCCTCTGTGGTTGGGCGGGGTGGGAATGGGAGGAAGCTTGCCACCAGCCGGGCTGTGAGAACCCGCTCTGGCAGGAAAAGTCGGCGCTTTCCACGAGACATAGAAGGAAAAGCAGAGGGAACAGCAAAACAAGTCATACTGTGGGAACAACTAATAACTTAATAATAGCAAGGGCTTCTAAGGGTGTTTGCTTTCTGTCACATACTGTTCTAATGGCTTTACTTGTATTGACTTATTCAGATCTCCTAAATTGATGAGGAAGGTGTTAATTATCTCCTTGTGTATAATGAGGAAACTGAGGCAAGGGTTCAGTTTTGAGGGAGTGTCACCCAGTCATCGAGATTAAGCATGACCTTATACTGCCTCTGGGCATAGAAAGGTTTAGTCCATATACAAAGATGTAAGCACTGAGGCCTGTCTTCGGCTATGTTTGGGATACATACAAGGGCTACAGGTTTAAATAGACAAAAAACTGGGGACAGGTCTGGTTCTAGTTGTAGCCTGATTGGCTGTAATTTCAGCACTGTTTGGAGAAGTTGTTACATTGTGGAAACCACCATGATCAGGATAAAGCAGCCATTGTTGCCTTGTGGATGGTCTATTTTGAGGAGGATCTATTGCTGCTTAGGGATGGCTTGGGCCCTAGCTTGTATAAGTGTTATCCATCAGTCCTGCCCTTTCTGGGTACTAAGTTGATCACGGTGTCTGCAGAGAGAATGGCTCAGAGAAAAGACACATATAAAAATGGAAGTAGGGAGCTGGGAATGTGGCTTAGTGGGAGAATGCTTGCCTAACATGCATGAAGCCCTGGATTCGATCCTCAGTACTACATACACAGAAAAAGCCAGAAGTGGCGCTGTAGTTCAAGTGGTAGAGTGCTAGCCTTGAGCCAAAGAAGCTCAGGGACAGTGCCCAGGCCCTAAGTTCAAGTCTCAGGCCTGGCAAAAAAAAAAAAAAAGAAAGGATAGCTGGGAATGTGGCTCAGTGGTAGAGTGCTTATCTTGCATGCATGAGGCCCTGGGTTTGATTCCTCAGCACTACATAAGCAGAAAAAGCCGAAAGTGGTGCTGTGGCTCAAGTGGTAGAGTGCTAGCCTTGAGCTGAAGAGCTGAGGGACAGCGCCCAGGCCCAGATTTCAAGCCCCACTACCAACAACAACAAAAAAAAAAAAAAAAAAGGAAGGAGGGATGTCAAGCTTTTCTCCAGCTTTTAGTTAATTCATGGGTCCAAGTTAGTAGTCAGTGCTTTTCAGCAAAGCAGGTTACATACTTATCACCTGTCTGCAGAACAGATTTTAACTAAAGTTATAAAAGTACCCGAATAGAATACAGAACTTCATCATCTCATTAGAGATGCAGTACAGGTTCAGCAAGAGACCACTTAGGAAATATTGTTCTGCTCAGAAATAATTAATTCTGACCACATAATGATAGGAGAAAGTGCTTACAAGAGAATATTAAAACCACAAAACCCCCAGTTATGTATCTCTGGTGATTATGAAGGTGTAAACCATACACATATGTACCAACACAAGGTAGGCAAACCACTGCCAAAATAGCAAGTGCTGAGAGGTTTATTTTTAGCTCAGTTTCTTGGCAGAGATCCCATAGGAAGGGGCCCCTGCTCCCCCAATTTTACACAGAAGGGCGCCAAGAAAAGATCCATGTAATCTAAACCCAGAGCCATCCGTGAGCCAGCATCCTCAGTTAGTAACCAGCAGGACAGATGCGGCCCTTACTGTGCACACAATGGGTCTGAATTGAGGGAGGCTAAGGAAAGAACTGGCATGTGTTAGGAACAGAAAATTTTAGCCATTTGCATTGAGAAGTTGGCATGTACCTTTGGTTTCCTGACGATTCATTAAGAAGAAAACAAGAGCAGAGATGAAAAGGAAAGGAAAAGGCTGGGAAGGTGGCTCAGTGATAGAGCACTTGCCTTGCATGCCTGAGGCCCTGGGTTCGATTCCTCAGCACCACATAAGAAGAAAAAGCCGGTAGTGGTGCTGTGGCTCAAGTGATAGAGCACTAGCCTTGAGCTGAAGAGCTGAGGGACAGCGCCCAGGCCCAGAGTTCAGGCCCCACAAATGGACCAAAAAAAGAAAAAGAAAAGGAAAAAAGGCACTTAACACCAGGGGCTGAACAAAAACTTAAAAAGCAAAAAGCAAAACAAAAACACCCACACACAAAACACCAGTTAAAAAATCAATTATATATAGAATATGACAATATAACAAAATTTACTAGTTCTTTTAATATGAAAGCATATATTCGTGTTAGAGTTACATGTCACCCTAGCTTGTGTTCAATGAACAATTTGTGCTAGGCATGCGCATAAGTGCTGGCCGACATTCACCTGTCAGTCTTCACCAACAGCCCTGAGGCAGACAACTGTTAATCCCGATTTACAGTTTGCACTGAGGCCCAGCGACACCTTGGATCCCTGAGGGTGAATTCAGGGAGACTGGCTCCAGGTCTACCCAAGAATGCTACACTGCTGTTCAATCTTTCTATTTTCCTGGCTTTACTGAAACTCTTTAGTAACAAGGAGGAGGCTTGCAATGAGTTGAGCTCAACTGACCTGAGGAACTAATCCAGACTTGTGGGGCTCTGCTGCCCCCGAGAGGCTGCGGCTGGTATTGCTGCTGTTGGCGTGCCACCGGCGTGAATGTCTGCTGAGCCCTGGGCAGCTCCGGAAGGTTTTCTCACAGTGTGGACAGTGATAAGGTTTCTCGTGGGTGTGGATCCTCTGGTGCTGACTGAGATGGGCACGGACAGCAAAGGGCCTGCCACACACGTCACACAGGAAGGGCTTCTCCCCTGTGTGCGTTCTCTCATGCCGGCTTAGATTAGCTCTCTGGGCAAAGGCTTTCCCGCAGTGGTGGCAGGTGTGGGGCTTCTCCCCCGAGTGCACGCGCAGGTGCCTAGAGAGGCTGCAGCTCTGCCTGAAGGTTTTCCCACACTGGGCACACGGGAAGTGCTTTCTGGCGGGGTGCGATCTCTGGTGCTGAGTGAGGCTGCTCCTGTGCGTGAACATGAGGCCACACTGTGTGCATTTCAGCGACTTCTCTGTGGCATGGATGAACGGAGGCTCTGAGAGGTGGGAGCTCTGGGGATGAGGGAGGGAGCTGCTGAGCCCAGCCTTCTCCTGCAGCCTCACCCCACAGTGGGTGTTCAGGTGGTGATGGAGCTGTGGAGCATGGCGGAAGGCTTTCCCACACCCTGGGCACACAGAGGCTCTGGCATGGATCCTCTCATGCTGTGCCAGGTGTTTGCGGAGGCGGAAGCTTTCCCCACATCTGCCACACCTGAAGCGGGCACCATGTTCCCCCATGACATCCCCGCCCGCATGGAGGCCTGGCTTCTGTCTGCTGTGACCGGCCAGGTGACAGTGCAGGGTGGAGCCACACACGAAGCGCTCGCCACAGTGGGGACACTGGTGTGGGGCCTCGATGATGTGACTCCTCTGGTGCCGCTCCAGATGTTCTCTGCGGCTGAAGGCCTCATGGCACTGGGCACAGCGGAAGAGCTGCCCTGCACCGTGACTGGACTGGTGACGAAGGAGTTGCCTGGCGTGACTGAAGCTCCTGGTGCAGTGCGGACACAGGTGGGGCCTGTCCCCCGTGTGGCTGCGCTGGTGATCGCGGAGGCGCCCATGCTGGCAGAACGCCTTGCCACAGGTGCCACACTGGTAAGGCAGCTTGCCCGCGTGGCTCCACTGGTGGCGCCTCAGGGTGGTGGCGTGGCTGAAGGCTTTCTGACACTTGCCACATCGATAGGGTTTCTGTCCCATGTGGGCCGCGTGGTGCAGGGTGAGCATGGCCAGCCGCCTGAAGGCCTTCCCGCACTGCTGGCACTCAGCCACGGGGGTGGCATGCATGGCACGCATGGCAGTACTACAGGAAGGGCTTCTTGCAGCCGAAGGTCGCTTGGTGGTGCTTCTGCCTGTCTCCCTGTGGCTTTGGCGGTGGCCGGCCAGCTGCGAGGCCCGCGTGAACGCACGCTCACACTGCTCACACTTGTAGGCCTTCACGATTCGGAGAGGTTTCTGGCACCAAACACGCTGAGGGTGACACGCAGCTGGGGCCCCACTTTGTCCCCGAGCGTGAACTCTCTGATGGCGCTGGAGGTCCACACTCCGAGGAAAACACCTCCCACACTCTTTACATGCGTGGGCTTTGGACCTGGGCTGAATGGGCCACACTAAAAAGAACACACGCTGGCTGAGGCCCCTCTGGTCGGCACTCGTGGGGGGCTTCTCCTGGGCGTGGACCCCCTGGTGCTCCACGGGGTGGGAACCTAGGCTAGAGTTTCCCCACTGTTCCTGCCTCGGCTCTGCACTGCTGTCCTCTTTTGACCTGCCTGCCAGGAGGCTCTCTTCAGGACTCTCTCCGATGCGAGGGAGGTTCCCGGGATGGCTGCCATGCTTGCGTGGCATAGGACTCTCTTCATGGGTGACCTCAGAGCCCAGAAGGTTTTCTAGATCTCCCAGCAAACTCTCTAAACAGCTGTCACTTAAACAGGATTCGAAGCTGGGGGTCCAGCGGCTGTCTTTAGCAAGTGCGTCCAAAATCTCCTGAGGGAGTCCATCTCCCAAGGACTCCTGCAGCAGGGGGGAGCTCCTGCTCTCTGACGAGTCTGGAAGAGAGGCCCAGAGGGGAAGTGGGGGCCTCCCCTGGCCAAGTCAGGAAGGGAGGGAGGGAAGAAGGGACGGAGGGAGGGAGGAAGGGAAGGAGGTGGGATGGCAGGTACACCATGCCAGTCTGAGGAAGCCTGAGGTTGTGGGGACCCGGCCGTACCAGGGCTCTCCCTCCCACTCACTTGAGCCCATCACGTTTGGCCTCTCTCTGCCCAGAGCCTGCGGCTCTTCTTCTCCATAAGGATGGGAGCCTGGGGAGAGGGAGACACTATCATCAGGAATGGGGGAGAATAACCTTCGGCTCCCAGCTGTGAGGGCCCAGGCATAAAGAATCTGGCTCAAACTGGGCAATAGTGGCTCATGCCTGTAATCCTAGCTACTTAGAAAGTTGAGATCTGAGAATCATGGCTCAAAGTCAGCCTAGGCAGAAAATTCTGTGAAGTTCTTATCTCTAAAAAAAAAAAAAAAAGGTTGAATGTGAAGGTATGGTTCAAGTGGTAAAGCACTAGCCATGAGCAAAAGAAGCTCTCGAGGCTGGGAATGTGGCTTAGTGGTAGAGTGCTTGCCTAGCATGCATGAAGCCCTGGATTTGAATCCTCAGTACCACATACACAGAAAAAGCCAGAAGTGGCACTGTGGCTCAAGTGGTAGAGTGCTAGCAAAAGAAGCTCAAGCACGGGGGCTGGAAAGGTGGCTCAGTGGTAGAGCACTTGCCTTGCATGCATGAGGCCCTGGGTTCGATTCCTCAGTACCACATAAGCAAAAAGAAAAAAGCCGGAAGTG